CCAGGCAGGCAGGGGTGGGGAGAGGTGGGGAGGAAGCAACTTACCCTCCTTCTTCTCCTGCCTCCTCCTGGCTGAATGAGGGCCGGAAGCGGGGCGGCCGGAAGCAGGGGGTGGGGCTTCGTCGTGTGTCCCGCCCCGCCGTACCTCACCTGGGGGAACTGCGATCCCCCGTGATTCCCCCCAAAATGACCTCTGTTGCACACGAATCAGGAAAGGTGTGGCAAACCAGGACGTATTTCCACTGCTTTATTTCTGCGCTCTCTTCTTCTTGCATCCTGCAGATGTATCAGACAAAGAAAGGTTACAACACCATGAAGTCTACTAACTGGTCCTCCCGCTCAGCAGTGGACCTCAGACCCAACAGGAGGATGGCCTCTGTCAGCAATGGTGTGGGGCCTAAGGGCCTGAATTATGGCATGAATTACACCCTGTCTCAAGCTGCCAACTCTACTTCACGCCCCAACTCCTTCCACGAACGAAACTATCGGGCCCATCATAACTACGACACGATGTCCCTCCGTTCCCTGCGCTTGGCAGATGGGCCAGTCAGTCCTGGGGGCATAGATGACCGCTACAGCCTCATGTCTGAGCAGATGGATCCATTGGTCTACAAAAACAGGGGGGGTGGCAACTTCACCAAATCCTACACCTTTGAAAGGCAGATGAGTGCTGGATCTAATGCTGGCATGAAGGGGCCCATCAACTGGATGGATGGTGTGGATGGCCCCCCAAACAGGACTGTCATCCGTGCACCAGCCATGCGCACCTTGCAGCGTTTCCAAAGCAATAACCGCTCCCGCCTGAGCACTGGCTCCTTCAGTGCGGTCCAGTCTTCCCAAGGGGGCGTTGGGAACTCCTACGCAGGTGTAGTGGAACGCAGTTCGCGTGCCCCTTCTGTGCGTAGCTTGGCTGATTCCAACCACCATTTGCAAGACCTGCGTGCCATTGATATGTATGATGGTCACAACTCACTCATGACTCAACAGTCCTTTTCTGGTGGGTAAGTGTCCTATGATTAATGTATTGGAGGAGGGATGTTGCTGTATTTCCAATCGGTGCCTCCAAGGAACGAGAGACAATTTGAGGCTTTCCTCTAGGAACATAGGTGTCTTCCACATGTGTTATCTGCCCCAATTTCAGTGCTTTGGGGGAGTGGGTTTTTCCCTGTTTCTCCAAAGCATCGTGGTACATTTGTGCACCTCTGATAGTTTCCCAGCTTTTTTCCTTGTCTTTCTCAAACCTGCTTTGATCCAAAGTTTTGGGAAAGATTGCAGCAGCGGTGGCTGCTGTGGGTGGGAAAATTAAGATTTTCTGACTCACATGGCAGCCATTTTCCTTGACCCTGTTCCTGCGACAGCCATATTTCCTCTTCCTGCCTGGGGGGGGGGGGACTTTTTATTTTTTTAAAATTAGTACTAGAACATTGTTGTATTGATATATACATTCTACCAATAGGTGTAGCTACAAGAGAGGACACTCCACAAGAGAGGAAGCTAGAGACTTTCTTTTTCCATAAATGAAACCTGAGAATTCAGAGAAACTGCTACTCCTATTGGTGCAGTAGTATATCAGTATTCTAAGTCAGCATTCTAGTGCCAATTTTAAAATAATGCAAAAACCCTCATGGCACAGGGGAAAGGTGGTGGACACTTTTGGGGGATTGGGGAAGGGAAACGGGGGGAAAACCTGCCATGTGGAAGTCCTGTTGCTGCTGCATCTGCAGCCACATCAACAGCACATAAACCTGTCCCTGTGTGTTTTTTGCTAAAACTCCTGAATGCTTGACCGGTGTGCGCCTCTAGATAACATGATGGCGCCATGGCAGTAGGACCTTCGGGGCAAAGTGTGCCTCAATCCCTTGGCATTGCACCTCGGGAGCGGCACTACTTGAACCCCATGGTTGAGGGATCCTCTACGGGGGGCCCAGGGGGAAACCGGCACAGCTGGATCCCCTCCTGGCCACCGTGGAACAGGCCACACCGTACGGAGCTCGCCGGTGCGCACCTGCTGGGCGAGGAGCCGAAACCGGAAACCAACCTGTCCCTGTGTGGAAGACAATCTTGGGAAATGTTTGTACTTTCCAGGCTGGTTACTAGCCTGGTGTTTGAAGCAGGACCTCAATTCCCACTTGTTGCTGCTCCACATGACTGGGGAAATGCTGTCACTCTGGGGAATTTGCTATTGCTATAGCGGCAAGGTAGAGAGAGAAGCCTAGCACAGGATACAGTACTGCAAGGAAAACAGTTGGGCCTGTACATCGTCATTTTACAAGCTGTTTGTTAGGATGTTGTAATGTAACACTGAGGTCAGAGCTGAGAAACGGTGGCAGCTCCTGCGTGCTCATTTGTTAGTGACATGAGGTTGACTCCATGTATCTGGTAAAATATTATATTTGTATATAATCGACCTCACCTTTTCCTGTGATTTCTGATGCTGGGAATGCTTTTCTTTCAGAAATAATATGCAGGCAGGGTTGTATGATGCATTGGTTCACAAAGTGCACAGAATCTAGTGGGTAGCCATGTTGGTAGCCACTAGATTCAAACGTTGTTCTGCACAGAATCTGTAAGTCATTTTGGAGTTTTTCAGTCTGGAAATCTCTGGTTTCCTTTGAGAAACAAAACTGTAGGGGGAAATGCTGAAAATGGAAGAACAGAAGAGCAAAGTTTCAGAAATCTGCATAAGGCTTATAACAGAGGTCATTTTGGGGGGGAACGCGGGGGAACACAGTTCCCCCGGGTGAGGTGCAGGGGGCGGGGCACACGACGAAGCCCCGCCCCCTGCTTCCGGCCACCCCGCTTCCTGCCCTCATTCAGTTCCTGCTACAAAAAGAGCCCCAGGGACATATTCAGGGTTGTGTGATGCATTGGTTCACAAACCGCACAGAATCTAGTGGGCAGCCATGTTGGTAGCCACTGGATTCAAACGTTGTTCTGCACAGAATCTGTGAGTCATTTTGGAGTTTTGCAGTCTGGAAATCTCTGGTTTCCTTTGAGAAACAAAACTGTAGGGGGAAATGCTGACAATGGAAGAACAGAAGAGCAAAGTTTCAGAAATCTGCATAAGGCTTATGATAATAATAATTCAGTAGACTTTAGTGTTGTGCAGGACCTCGTTACGCTTCTCGCATGTCTCGTTTTCTGCTCCCTGGTCAGCGAAACCAAATTTCTGAGATTGCCCCTCCTCCCTTTAGCACACCACTTCAGAACTGCCACAAAATTAGAGACTCCTTGTCCCTGGTCACACGGAAAATTTGCCACGCAAAAGGCACGAATGCTGGGTGGATTTTCGGGGCGCGATCACACTGCAACATCTGGCAAGCGTAGTGCAGCCATGGCCAGCCTGTGGCGTGCCGCCGAAGATGTGCAGTTAAAAAGTATCTGCAAAGCTCTACTAGCAAATGGTTTGCCACGGGCTGCAGACGGTCTCATTCGGTGTGATCGCGCCGGTGCGCGCCTATTCCCTCAGGCCGTCCTCTTTGCAGCGCGCACCGAAGGACGAAACCCCAGTGCGCCGCCATTACATCTGATCGCATAATGGTGGATCAGAATGCGACAGCGCAGATAGCCACGCACGCCCCCACGTTTTCCGGCACATGTGGCCGAGGTCCTTGTGTATTTTAATTGGGCAAAATAAATATATGTAGGTTTGAATAATGGGGATCTGGATTTTTAAAAAAAACAGTGCAATATTTACAGGGCCCTGCATCATGTCCTCTTTCGCTCCACTTTGATTTTCAGGTTTGATGACATTGACCTTCCCTCTGCGGTGAAGTACCTGATGGCCAGTGACCCCAACCTGCAAGTCCTTGGGGCTGCCTACATCCAGCACAAATGCTATAGTGACACTGATGCCAAGAAACAGGTGAGGAGGATAGAAGCAGACAGGAATAAGGAAGCTGCCGTGTAATGAATTAGACCTTTGGTCCATACAGCTCGAATCTCAGGAAGTGGTGGCGGCTACAAGCATGGACGGCTTCAAAAGGGGATTAGATAGGCATATGGAGCAGAGGTCCATCAGTGGCTATTAGCCACAAGGTATAGATAGGGGCTCTGGTGCAAGTGATGCTCTGTCATCTTGGGCTTGGGGGGGCCAACAGTGGGAGGGCTTCTAATGTCCTGGCCCCACTGGTGGACCTCCTGATGGCACCTGGTATTTCTGGCCACTGTGTGACACAGAGTGTTGGACTGGATGGGCCTTTGGCCTGATCCAACATTGGCGTCTCTTATGTTCTTATGTCGTCACCTATCTTGACTGTCAACATCAGAGTTCCAGAGCCATTCCCAACATCTGTTAACTAGAGGTTCCGGGGGGTGTTGTCCCTTCTGTGTATGAAGCACATGCCCAGCACTGAGCTGTGGCCCCCACCCATAATTCATTTTATTATTTTATTTATTTTTATTCTTTATTTTATTTGTTCAACTTGCATCACAACATACAACATAATAAAAACTCAAAACGTAATAAAAACCATAAGAACCAAGATATAAAAAGCGAAACAGTTAAGCAATTAAAACAAGATGGCATTAAACACAAGGAATCCAGCGCCTCATGTGGCATTTTAACAGGCAAGGGTAGATAGCTTGATTCATAATAGGTTTTAATCCGATGGTGGGAGGTACCTAGAACATAGTGCCCCACAGATGGTAGACAGTATCTAGGAGGCACTGGGCAGCTACCAAGAGGCAGGGGAGGCTGAGAGGGTTTAACGTCCGCCACCTCACCCAAAGGCCTGCCGGAACAACTCCATTTTTCAGGCCCTGCAGAACTGTGATAGATCTCGCAGAGCCCTGATCTCGAGTGGGGACGTGTTCCACCAGCCGAAAAAGCCCTGGCCCTGGTTGAGGCTAAGTGGACATCTCTCAGGCCAGGGATCACCAGGAGGTGTTGCTCTACCGAGCGCAAGGCTCTCCGGGGCACATAGGGGGAAAGGCAGTCCCGCAAATATGCTGGTCCCAGGCCGTTTAGGGCAAGTGGTTAAGACGCTGAACTGCAGGCTGTGGAAGGTCGGTAGTTCAGCAGTTTGAGACCCGGGTTGCCGCATGATGGAGTGAGCTCCCATCTCTAGTTCCAGCTCCTGCCAACCTAGCAGTTCGAAAGCAAGACATTGCAAGTAGATAAATAGGTACCACTTGGGGGGGGGGGGAATCAAGCTCATATAATTTCTTATGAACTGCTCTCAGCCATTTGGATTGAAAGTTGTCTGAGAGTAACAAGTGGATGGAAATTTAGTTCAAGCCAATAGGCGAGGCCGTAGGTCAACAGGTCACAGTTGACCATGTCAAACGCTGCTGTCAGATCTAAGAGCAATGGCAGCGCCGGCCCACCTCAGTCCAAGAGTCTCCAGAGGTCATCCATGAGGGCGACCAGCGTGGTCTCCGTCCCATGACCAGGGCGGAAGCGGGACTGGAAGGGATCCAGAGCCTGGATCCCAAAGGGACCAACACTATTTGCAAGTTTAGTCACTAGTGTGTCTCATTGAAGAGAATGTAGCGTCAATCGCATGGACAAAAAAGGGGGGGAAGGGGAAAAAACTGAACCTAAAACCTAGAATTCAGAACCTAAAAAGGTTAGTCAAGAATAGAAGAGGGCCAACTCTAAAAATCTAATTATGAAACATACAAAAATATATATGTATTTATTAAACACAGATTAAAATAACAAATAAGGGCCCATTCAAACCTCAAATACAAATATAAAAACATACAAGGGCTGATGAGATAGACCTAACGCGTTTCGGCCTTTATATGCCTTCCTCAGAGGTCTAATACAGATCATGTTGGCTGATATACAATCATACATATACAAAATATGAAGTAAAGACCAGAAACCAATTGTTCCAAAGTTTAACCACTGGGCAAAGAAAAGAAATACAAAAATACAAATGCAACCTCCAGTGTAATCACATGTCCAGTAGTACTTCTCTCTGGTCAACTATATATTCTCCTGAGATTGTACAGCCAAATGCTCCCAATAAAATGTTCCTTAAGTTAAATGACAGTTTTTTATTATTTATTATTTATTTATACCCCGCCCTCCCCACCGAAGCAATCTCAGGGTGGCCTACAGGCCCATGGACATCATAGACAAATTAAGACAGTTCAGATGAGCCAAGCTGCTGAATGTGAATGGAGGTTGTCTGACCTGGGGGGGAAAGCAGATTGCCTTAGGTGACATAGCAACGAAGATTAGCAGAGCGTCGCCCAAGGATCTGCTTTCCTGTTTCTGTCTCTGATATATCTATACTTCTCTGCTTCTTGCCACTCCAGGCTCGCAGCCTCCAAGCTGTGTCCAAGCTGGTGAAGCTTTTCAACAACTCCAACCAGGAGGTGCAGCGCCACGCAACTGGTGCCATGCGCAATCTCATCTATGACAACACTGAAAACAAGCTGGCACTGGTGGAGGAGAATGGCATTTTTGAGCTGATGCGCACTTTGCGCGAGCAGGATGATGAGCTACGCAAGAATGTCACAGGTGAGAGACTGTTGCTCAGGGCAACTCGAGGGGCAGAAGACCTGCAGACAATAAGCTGCCCCTGAGGACACAAGACAAATAGAGGGAGCTTAAGGCTAAACAGAGCTGCGGTGGCTCAAGTGGTTAAGACGCTGAACTGCAGGCTGTGGAAGGTCGGTAGTTCAGCAGTTCGAGACCCGAGTGTGGCACATGACAGAGTGAGCTCCCGTCTCTAGTTCCAGCTCCTGCCAACCTAGCAGTTCGAAATCAAGAAATTGCAAGTAGATAAATAGGTACCACTTTGGTGGGAAGGTAACAGCTTTCCGAGCGCCTTGGTGTTTAGTCATGCCAGCCACATGACCACGGAAACGTCTTTGGACAGCGCTGGCTCTTTGGCTTTGAAACGGAGATGAGCACCACAACCCTAGAGTCAGATTCGACTGGCTTTCGAGCAAAGGAACCTTTACCTTTACCTTTTAAGGCTAAACATGGAGAGCCAGTTTGGTGCAGTGGTTAAGTGCGCAGACTCTAATCTGGGAGAACCGGGTTTGATTCCCCACTCCTCCACTCGCACCTGGTTGGATGACCTTGGGCAAGCCGTAGTTCTGACAGGAGCTGTCCTTGAAAAAGAGCCGTTTCTGTCAGAGCTCTCTCAGCCCCACCAACCTCACAGGCAATGCTTCCTCTAAGCTGTGGGGTCTTGTGAGCAAAAATTCTGCTTTGTGAGCCACTGGCATTAAAGCTGTGAGCGAGAGATTTGGCTACTGCATCAATCAGTTTGCTCTGGAGCCATCCTTCCTGAACTAAGACAAAAAGGTGTGAGCCGGAGGCTAAAGAACTGTGAGCTAGCTCACACTAACTCGGCTTAGAGGGAACACTGCTCACAGGGTATCTCTTTTGGGGAGGGGGAGGGAAAGGAGTTTGTCAGCCGCTCTGAGACACCTTTGGGTAGTGAAGTGCGGGGTAGAAATCCAATCTCTTCTTCTTCTTCGCAGTGTGAAAATGCACTGGTTTACCATCTTGGCCCCACCCCAAGTGTGTCTTAAAAGTTACAGTTGAGTAACAGGAGTACTACAGCAAAGGGATAACCAACCCCGGGCCCCCTTGTGTGACCCAAAGGCAGGCTGCTGAAAACTAGAGGGGTGGTCATGTCTGTTGAGGCACAAGTAGCTTAGCGGAATTAGAGAACTACTGCTATTGTGAATGGCCACTGTAGCTAGCTTGATTACATTTGAAGTAATAATCACGTTTCACCCTGTCCTTCCCACATTTTGTGACCCTTGAATCTGCTGTTTATTTTTTATACATCCTAGAGCTAAAAGGTCTACCTAGCGAGGATTGCCTACTTCTGTTTAAAGTGGACTCTAGGCTACCAAAGTTTATTCTAGAATAAAATCTTGTTAGTGTTTGAGGTGCCACTAGACTCCTTTTCATGTCTGCCCAAACTAGTCCCCCAGTGAAAAACGGCTTCGTCAGCATTGCTGTAATATTGCCTAGGAGTGCCTGCTTTGCATGGACCAGGGCCACTGTATGATGAGCTTCCCTTCCTCCACTCCGTGGTATTGCCTACCACTGGCAGGGGGAGGAAGAACTCACACTTTGGTGGCCCCAGTCCATACCAGGAGTGATCAGGTGTTTCTGTGGTGGCGAGATAATGTCACAGGGAGGCAATTTTGGGCCGTATCTCCATGGTAAATGTCTCAAGTTTGGTGCCGTGGTTAAGTGCGTGGGCTCTAATCTGGGAGAACCGGGTTTGATTCCCCACTCCTCCACTTGCACCTGCCAGATGACCTTGGGCAAGCCATAGTTCTGATTAGAGCTGTCCTTGAAAAAGAGCAGTTCTGTGAAGAGCTCTCTCAGCCCCACCTACCTCACAGGGTGTCTGTTGTGGGGAGAAGAAGGGAAAGGAGTTTGTGAGCTGCTCTGAGACTCCTTCCAGTAGTGAAGGGCGGGGTATAAATCCAATCTCTTCTTCTTCTTCAAGTTGTCCGGCTCTTATCCTCTTGTCAGCGTTATTACTCAGGAAATGTAAGACCCAGGTGAGAATTCTATATTACAAGGGGGCGGGACCCGCGATACTCGCGGGGTGGGGAGGAACCTCCACACAGGAGGCAGAGGAGGAAGAAGCAGGAGGAGGTAAGTCCCCCCCCATCCCCCCGGGTCCGCTCCGAAGCGAGGGCCGAGCGGATTGCCGCTCGGGCCTCGCTGCTCTCTCCCCCCCCAAGCGGCAGCGGCGAGGGAGTTCGCAGAGCACACCTGGGGACCGTACCAAGTGTGCACAAAAATCTCCCTCCCCCCTAGGTGCCCCCGATGCGCGGATTTAGGTATCCGCACGCAGGGGGCATCTTCGGAATTAGATATATAGATTGGGGGAGGTCTAAGTAGGAAGAGGATTCTGGCATGGGGGAGTAATCCCCATAGGTTGCTGCGTTACCACCTGGAGAGTCCACCTGTACCAGCAGTTGGCTGCTTAAGTGGGAGATGAGGCGGCTGTGGTTTCTCCAGATTTCTGCAGTGCAAGCAGTATCCGGACAAACAAAAAGGGGTGGGGGAGGAAAGTGCACAGAAGAAACTGCAGGTGCCTTATCGACTGAATTCAGTGACAAATTGAAAGGTACACAGGGCATGTTGAGGTCACAGTCTGGCAGTCATACCACTAGGGACGGTTTGGCTGGCAGCTGCTACTGCAATCCGCAAGTCCATTTCTGTGTGTATTAATCATTACAGCAGGACTGTTTGAGACCCAGGAATAATTTGTGGGAGTGTTGCCTGGCGTTTCAGCTGAAGTGTGACAGAAGGCCCTAAACTGAACAAGATGTGAGCAAAAGAAGGGATGGGAATTGGGCACTGAGATAAGTGTAGTAACTTTCCCAGAGTTTCATGGAGGTTGGTGGCAGACCTGAGACTAAGTAATCCACTTCTTTTTGGCTGCTGCCTTACCCACAATGGCTGTTGCCAGTGCTAGGGTTGCCAACTTCCCATGACAACTGATCTTCAGACCATACAGATCAGCTCCCCTGGAGAAAATGGTTGCTTTGGAGGGGGGGGCTCTATAGTATTACGCCCTGCCGAAACCCCTCCCCTCACCAAAATGTGCCCTCTCCAGGCACCAACCCCAAATCTCCAGGAATGTTCGAGCCCGGTGTTGGCATCCCCTACTTCTACTCAGGGACATTTATTTTTTTTCCACCACAAGGGTAGCAGGAAGCCCCCACAGTAAATCAGAACATTCAGAGTTCAGCCGATGTTGTGCCCAAAGCAGTCACACAACTCAACTAGCTCCCAATTCTTCCTCTTTGTACTGGAGAAAATAAAAACCTAATTTTCTCCAGCTCCAATGGGAACCTGAATAAGCACTGGGAAGTCTGACCGCAGAGAAGCTCAATAGAAGTCCAAAATGTGTGGGGTGGAGAAGGGGATTCAGTAGGGTTGCCAAGTCAGGTGTTGCACCGCAGCGGGGGACCATAGAGTTTTCCCTCGGATGACCGTGGCCCCGCCCCCAGCGTGCCCGGTGTGGTTGCGTCACTTCCGGGTGACACGCAGGTCGGGGTGGGGATCCCCCTGGGGCCCGATCCGCCGGCGGCGGAGAACGGGCCTCTGGGGCGGGGGTTTCCCCACCCCCCGGGGGGACTTGGCAAGCCTAGGATTCAGGAGCCCCATGCCCTTTGTATCAGGGCATGCTGGGAAAGGAGATAACTGTAGACTGGGGTGGGGGGGGAGCCTGGCACTAGGCCAACTCCCAGCTGTCTTTGCAAGGGGAGTGTTGGGGCACTGAACAGAGCGATCCAGCAAACCGGGGAGATTACATGTAGTTCTATTACAGAGTGGCCTTTTAAATCCTGCCCAACAGGTTCAGATTGTCGGATCGAATACCAGGGCTAATGGGAAAGTTAGGCCCAGGAGCAATGATGTAATGAGCTTTAACACGTTTTTACAAGCGCCGCCGTGGAGTCTGTGAAAGTGGTTTTAGCTGAACACAATTGAAGGATGGAGAGAGTAATCCCCTCCCCCAGTCACAGCCCAGGGCACACGCCTAATTCAGTAGCCCAGGCAAGCCTCTCGTGCTACTGCAGAGAAGGGTGGAGGAGAAGAGGAAGGGAGTGGCAAGTCAGCGCCCACTGCTGAGTGCGGGGAGAGGGGGACTGAACTTCCACCTTTTGCCCTCTTAGGGTTGCCAGCCTCCAGGTGGGGCCTGGGGGGGTCTCCCGCTTTTACAACTGATTTCCAGCTGACAGAGATCAGCTCCCCTGGAGAAAATGGCTGCTTTGGAGGGTGGACTCCGTGGCTGAGGCCCCTCCCCCTCCCCCAAACCCCGCCCTCTCCCGGATCCACCCCCAAAGTCTCCAGGTATTTTCCAACCCAGACCTGGCAACCCTAGGCCCTCTGTATGACCAAGACCAGAGATGTGAAGGCCTGGGGAAAAACCAGAAAAATCCGGGGGGGGGGGGAACCATTCCCCCCCTTTTTTTCCCTGAAGCCTTTTTTGTTTTTTTCCGAAAAATTGGAAAAATTGGGGGAAAAGACAAGAAAAGAAATTGATTGTGGAACATTTTATTTTAGCATGATGAATAAAATATTTTAAGACAAGGTGTTCAGATATTTTCCAAATCATTTCTAAAAAATATGTATGGTATCAGATTGATCTAATTTCTGTGCACTGAAGACAAGCAAGTCCTAGGTTACAAAATGAACTCTCCAATGCAAGAACAAGATGCATGTCTTCCTTTAGGAGGTGCTGTTGTCACAAGAAAAGAAAAAGGTTTCAGTTTTGTTTTTGCACGTGGGCGGGCATTCTGTTTGTAATAATTGTTTGGATACACTATATTTTTAATATGCTAGTTGTGATAATTTAATGCCAAGTAAAAATGTTCATAGTCATATCTTATGTTCTTAAAGTAACAGAATGACTTTCAATCTGGAAAAGAAAAAAGAAGTGCTAATTTAGCATATTTTTCAATTTTTCCAAAAATTTCCATTTTTTTCTGGAAAAAAACAGAAAAAACTTCGGGGGTTTCCCGAGC